TGCTACTTCATAACTGTAATTTTGCTTCTGTTATGAATTGTAATGTAAATATCTGATATGTAGGATGTATTTTCATTCTTACAGATTGTACATAATTAAAGCATAGTGATTAATCACAAAAACAATATGTAGTTATATATGTGTTTTCCGATGGTCTTAGGCGACCCCTGTGAAAAGGTCATTCGACCCCCAAATGGGTCTCGACCCACAGGTTGAGAACCACTGCTCTAGGACATCTGAGTTTCCTCTCCTGACTTTCCCGTTAGGCTGCACTGCTCATTACATCATTGTAGGAAAAGAAAAACCCAACTCCTTGAAATATATCCAATTTGGAGATTATGTAATGGTCTAAAATTAAAAGTGTGGGGTATATAAAACACTTTGAGGACCCAGAGTTATTCAGAGATAGGCTATCACCTCTAAAGTCAGCTGAAGTAGGTTTGTGAGGCCCAGTGACCCTGGTCGGAGAAAGCAGAGGCTTCAATAGGAGCTCCAAACAGAGAGGGCCGATACTTTGAGTTATAGGTGTGTGCCCACATCCGTGCGAATGCTCGCGTGTGTGAGAGAGAGATGGAGAGAAAGAGAATAAAGGTTAATAATTTTTCCCAAAAAACTTTAGGGAGGGCAGTTATTTTAGATATAAATCTTTGATCTATCAGTTTTTTTCTTTTGTTTGCTTCCTGGTTTATAGTCAAGATAATTGTTAATTATGTTTATTTTCCTCAGAATAGAATTAGTTTTCTCTATGATTAAAACAATGAAAACAAAACAAACCTTGTAATTCTGTACCCTATTTTAACCATTGTGATAGCATTTTTATAACAGTTCTTTGTTATTTTTAAAATCTAGTTTAAGCATTCATAATCACATACAATTTTACATTGTATTTTGTTGTTTACATGGAAAATGCTAGTTATAATGCTTGGCACATAGTAGGCACTTAAATATTCACTAAAAATGAATTGACATTTTTATATAATCTTTGAACATCATTTTAAAAAATATATTTTTATTGATTTCAGAGAGAAAGATAGAAACATCAATAATGAGAGATAATCATTGATTGGCTGTCTCCTGTATGCCCTCTATTAGAGATTGAGCCTGCAACCTGGGCATGTGCCCTGACCGACTGGGAATCGAACCATGACCTCCTGGTTCATAGGTTGATGCTCAACCACTGAGCCACGCTGACTGGGCTCGAACATCATTTTTAATGGGCCATCTAGTGGCTATCTATACTATAGGTCATTTTCCATTACCCTACTGTTGGATATTAAGTTATTTCTAATTTTTTTCCGTTTTAAAAATACATTGCACATTTTGATGTAAATTGCTTTCCCAGATGCATATAGCCTTTTCTATGTATAAGATTATTTTCTTAGGATAGAGTCCCAGAACTGATTATGTGCCAATTAATTATTAGTCAGGGACAGGCTAATAATTATGCAAGCAACAGAATACAATTGAGAAACATTTTGTTAATTTTGCTGGGGAGTACAGGATAAATCTGGCTCCCACTAGGGCTGTATCAAGTTGCTCAGTTCACACATGCAGGGCTTTGTCTCTTTGCTTCCCTCTGGCTGACTCTTGCCACCTGGTGGTAAAAATAGGCATTGATAACTTTTTGTAGTTTATAATCCTGACAAAAATCTTAAGAAAGATTATTTGATTTGGATGATTTAACTATTGTCTTGTGTCTGACCCTCAACCAATGAATTGCAATGGCCAAAGATGTGAAGTACCTTTTTTTAAAAAAAAAAAATTTTAGAGAGAGAGTGGAAGGGACAGAGAGAAACATCAGTTTGTTGTTCTACTTATTTATGCATTCATTGGTTGATTCTTATATGTGCCCTGACCCAGGATCGAACCTACAACCTTGGAATATTGGGATGATGCTGTAACCAACTGAGCTACTCAGCTGGGGCATAAAGTTCCTTCATTGACTAAGCCTGGGTTAATGTGCCCACAATTGGGGGTTAGGTCAGCTCCAACCAAATTACATGGACTGACCAGATTACTTTAGAATATTATATAGATGTTTTCTCAGGAAAGGACCTTGGCAGACAGGAAAAGGATATCTGTTGTAAATGTTTTATTAAGTATCAGTAATATAATAATTATTGCAGATTTTAATTATTTTAAAATTAATTTTATTAAATGTTTTATCACTCTTGATAGCCATTGGTAAATGATTTCTAAAAATTCATACTAATCCTAGCAATATTTATTATTTTAATATACTCTAATCAACTTTGGGTACTGTTATTTTCTAAATATTTTGCTAATTTAATAGATTAAAAATTGTACTTTATATTTCCTTTTTTCACTTAACATCCTATCTAATAAAAGAGAAACATGGTAATTGGCGTATGACCGCTACCCTTCCCTTGGCTAATCAGGGTGATATGCAAATTAACTGCCAGCCAAGATGGTGGCCGGCAGCCAGGCAGCTTGAAACTAACATGAGGCTTGCTTGCTTCAGTGATGGAGGACTCTAACGTTCCCCG